AAACCACAATCCAAACAGCAGTACGTACCACATCGTCGTAAGAGATCCGACTTCGGGCGGCGCGCCATATCAAGGCGGTTAGACTCTTGTGGCCACCATTACTGTCCACGACCCTTCTCAGCATCGTTTGCGCCGAAGATTAGGAACACCCATCTGAACCGCCTGGGGCTGCGCCAGCGAGCCTTTGCAAGCAGTACCGTCCGATGTAGGCGTCGAGATACTAGACGGTCCGCGACCGTCATCAGACCGTCGCAGACCGTGTGCAAAGCACTCGCAAATATCGGCCCGCCAGACATTTCCCGAAGCGGAAGCGCCCGCATCCAAAGGCAGAATCACAACGGAACCACTCTCCTTTAGTACTGTGGTCAATGCGCTCATGAGTAGTTGAGTCATCACGAGTCTGGGTACTACGTTCACACAGAAGCTAATCCTGTATACGAGACGAAAAGGAACGACCGCCATGTAGTGTTCAGAGCGAGATAGAATGAGACTTGTGAGAACGATCGCCGTGTGAGCCGTAACGACCGTTCGGACGTCTACTCACTTTTGGACATGCTTTACTCGCTCGTGCAGGCATATAAGGACCTCGGGTAGAATGCCGTGCAGCGGGCCGTCTCAAGTCACTTGGTACATGCTGGAGGCCATCGCACGTTGGCTGAGTAATTTCAGTTGGCGAATGCTATTTAGTAGGTAAGACGGTCAAACCATTTGGCAGCGGGACCGCGAAACGCGACATGGGCAGTGTCGGCAGACTCGTCGACATTTCGGACGCGCTTCTTGAAATTATATAGGGCAGCACGGGTCGTATGAGGTAAGCGGAATGGACGGAACATGCAGGAGCACTGGGGATGAAGCTGAAGGCGGAGGAATGACAGGACAGGACGAAGGGGGAGGCAGGCGTAGGGTGATCGGATGGGGATCGTGACTAGCCTTGTGGGCTGTATGGAACGGCTGGCGGGCAGAGTGAGCAACGACTCACTACAATTGTGAAGTGCCACAGATAGGCACGTTCTTCCAGAGCGTAGACCTTCTTGAAGCCTACCAGAAACACTGAACATAGAGCACACAGAATGCCTCGGGAAACGAGCCTTCCCGACAGTACCTCCCGTAGCGACGCCAGCGCATCTCTGTTCGCTCCAACGGTACAATGAGGCTCATCCAACTCGATGATTCTTTGGTCGGGTGGACAATGACGGGGCCGTGTTATGCTCGAAGCTCAAGCCCGACGAGCACCTCCGTCAAATACAGAGTGCGGTGTGTCTATGATCGCGGCGCACAGTGCTCATTACAAAAACCTAGATCTTATGAGGGTACATTGAGATACAACTCGCCCACAACGATTTAGCAAACACCAACAGCGGCGCACGGGAAAGTGCTGTCAAACACCAGACTGACGAAGGTCACGAAACGAATACTGTAGCGGGTGCTCGGCAATCCACTCCCTCTCCCATGCATCGAACCCTTGGGCATGCCTCAGCGCACTGGACAGTAGCAGTATAGGTCGACTCTCAAACTCCCGTGTATCTCCGCGCCGACGGGGGCTTGAGTTGCGTACAGCGTACTGATCATGTCTGCAGAGCAGATAAATTTTCATATGCGACAACGTTGGCAGCTTCAACTTACCTGGCCCTTGCGTGCGTTCTAACCTCCGCCTTCGTCAGCTCCAATGTCCGGCCGTACAGACAAAGCGGACACTCCCAGCCGTAGGTCCTTTCGGGCGCTCGTCGAATCTGGCGTGCGTAGGATTGCTCCACCTCCCGGGCGTGCGCTGACAGACAGAGAGGTGCCTTTTTGAAGGCATCTCGTACTCGTGAGGGATGTATGGAGACAGCGTGGTTGACCTGTCAAGGCAGTCTCAGTATAAGCAGATCTTTCACCGAACGCTACGTACTGCTGCGCACCAATCCATGATCAACGACCTCCTCTTGTCGACGCTGCAAAGGCTACATATGAGCCGCGTCTTGCATGCGTTGAGATCGACGGCACTGGCGTGATCTGGATCTTTGTCACACAGCTGAATGACGATCATTGCCGCATCGCCGTGACAGTCCAGGAGGGTCGCCGACCACGGCTGACAACCACGATAATGCACAAGCCGTGCGCTGTTGTTCACGTCGCGTTCAATACACGGCAAACGGCCGTCGTCGAGAGGGCGGCATCTTGCTGTTCTGGCCTCGTCGGCGACCTCTTCGTAGAGACAAGGGTGTGTAAGCACCTCGCGGCCGTGGAACATCTTCAGGCAGCGTCGACAGCGAAACAACGTCCGAGCCAGGATGAGGACGTCTGGTCTTGCTAAACGATTCGAGCGTCGGGCACGGGAGGGTAGGGATGGGCTTGGCAGGCAGGTAGACAAGGCTAGCGCCCTCAGTGACGCCTCAGCTCGCTGTTCCACTGTTGGATGAATCGAGGTAAAATGCGAACGAATGCTTGGCGGGTATCCAAGCCTCTCCGGACAGTCCGATAATGATGTCGACCTCCGAGTACTTCACGAGATCTACAGGCAGCGGATAGATGCAGGCCAGGTTATTTGCATGCAGGACGAGGCCCATGGCTACGTCCAACATCTGCAGCTGCCTGATACATAACTCTCGCCAGCCAGAAACTCGACGATTGTTCTGTCTTGCATCCATTCGAGCATGCGAGGCTCCCATTTAGCCCATTCTACAAATGTCATTACGCGGGCGCACAGTAAACGGCAAAACGTACCAGACATTGACAACGGTCGCGGAATGCGACCGAAAGGATGCTCTAGCAATGATTGTTACGCGAACCAAGACAGGCTATGTCGTTGCCGTATCCGAGATCAGTCAGACGTATTGCAATACTAGCGAAGAACGCATGAGATTGACATGAAGGCGAAATGAACAACGGACACTTCCGCTCTCTCCCGCAAAACAGTACTATGCCACTGAGCGTGCCAGATCGCGCAGTTGCCGGAATGCTGTCAAGCAGCCAATGAAATCGGTGCTGAACGAATCGCAGTAGTACACACCTCGGCAATAGCCACTGGTAGCCGCTTCCATTTGTTAATGATTTGCGCTTTTGACCGGCAACGCATGAAGCCAATTCCGCGAGCACTTTATCCACGTCAGACCGCAGATAAACACAGGTCCCTGTCGAACAGTAAGCCAACATCGTGAAACTACTGCTGATGTATCCTACCTAAAAGATGCGGAAGGACGTTGCCGAGCCAGGCCACACCCAGCTGCTTCTTCAGCCACTTTTCCTCAGGGGCACCGACATCCAGGGATATAGTCCTACGCGTGTTCAGATGAGCACATCAACGCCGATGAAGGTTGTCCGATAACTGACCGTTGTGACTGACAACGCTCGCAATACCTGCGGCAAAACTCCCAAAGTGTTCTGCTCGCATCAAGTGCGCCACACCCCATGCAACCCACATCAAAGAGGAGGCTGGCGAACACAGGCTCGCTCATGTAGGGAGGGCAGGCAGGAAGGCCGGGGAAGTTTGCCCGCGCATCCCGCCAAACCTTTGTGGATCAAGCGCTACGGAGGTGGGTGTTCAGGTACCTGTCGCATCGCGCGACAGCGAGTACGTCGCGCGGGTCAAGCGACCCGAGTATCTACATCCAGGGTCAGAGGAATGCATAGCGGATGGACCCAGCGTGCGACGAACCAAGTCGAGAAGCTCGGGCGGGAGCGTTCTGATCAGGTTTTCCCGGGCATCGTCAAGATGCAGACGTGGACGTGAGGCCTTCTTGGAGCGTTTTCGACGGGCCATATCTGAGAGAGTGCTCGTCGAGAAGAGAGGCGCGATGAGAGGGCCGGCTCGGAGAAGGCGCGAGTCTATAACGCGCTCGGACAAAGGCTCATACTCGGCGGGGGATCTCGCTGCGACGAGACAATGGTACTAAGGGTGGCAGCAAAATGCAGACTGAAACAGTCCACCAAAGCCCCAGCCGCGTGAGCCAAGATCGACAATATACAGACAAGTGCATTCTTGCGACTCACCTGCCGTCTGAAGTCGGACAACACCAACGCATCCATTCGGAACTGCACTTTTCAGGCATTGCATGATTAGCTGCCACGAGCTGACAAAGGGCGACTCGGAAAGGTGTTATGACGTCGTGGTGGTGAGAGGCGTTGGGTACGCACGATCGCAGAACGCGTCCCTCCAGGTCCGAAGACGCTGATTTGCTACATACGAAGGCCGGGCCAGACGGAGCCAACCGCCACGGAGGAGGAGGAGGAGGAGGAGGAGGAGGAGGAAGCGCCGAAGGGCTCGCCGCGCGTGACAGCGCTCGCCGAGTACTTATCTTCCCCGAGTCTTTCGACCTGCGTCGCGTCGGACTAGTCCTGCGTCGCGTCGGACTAGTGGTACTTGCGCCCGCTCCCCATGTTTGCTCGCATAGCATAATCATCCATCCGACGAGACCAGAACGTCAACTCTGCGCTTTGTCCTCTCGTAGGAGGCGGTGAACAGGACTCCATTGAATGCTCTCAGTCACAGTATAACTACCCCGACGGCTTGGCAGGCCGCGATTACTACGTACAGCAGGACAAACTGAACGGATGCACTCCAGCAGGCTTGGCAGATATTGCCCCACGCCTGTTCGTCATCATCGAATGAGCCGTACTGTGTTAAGCAAGCCTCGAAGTTCCTGCATATTTCGACCAGTTCATCCTCAACATACTCCATGTCGATGGCGGCATTGTCAGATGGCGCTTCGAGACTGTTTCGCCTGAAGCACTCGGCGAACGCCCATAAATCCTGAGTATCGCGGAACTTCGCTCGATACAGATGGGTTCTGCCATATGCATCGTAGGCATGGGACCAGTATATTGTCAGAGTGGGCTGCCAAGGGCGCACATCAGACGAAGTGAGACTAAGACTCAGCAGCGCTGCGTACCTCTGAAATCACGGCCGATGTGTCGTTCGAGAGGACCATGCGTAGAGGCTCAACGAGCAGTGCGTTCGGCAGGCAGAGAATGGCATCTGAGAAGGCGGCGGTGAGGCCTAGCATCCAGCGTAGAGTCCAAATGAAGGGCTCACATTTCCCGCCGGACAGTTGTATCGTAAGTAGGGAGGTAGGCGCCCCGTAGTTGACTGTAGGGTGGCTCTGTCCCGGGTCCAAAGGAATCTCCCTGAAATCATCTGCCCGGCCGGCGAAGCGAATTCGCACCCCGCTATTGTCGAGCCGAGCAACGGTTTAGCCTGTGTATGCAACTCCGTACACGACGAACACATACGCTGGGATCGGACGGCCTTGCGAAAGGGCGTCTAAGCCGCGTTTGAGAAGGTTGCAGAGGGAGACGAGGAAAGACATATTGGACGTGCCCTGGAACGCGGACGACGTGAACGGCGCCCTCAAAAGCGGAAGATGTGAACGGTGCCCTTATACGCTCCTGCGGGTCGTTGCGAAACCCATTTGAACTGCATTGTGTTTTGTGCCGAAAGATGAGGTAGAAGGAACAATAGAATGCTCACCACGACACTCGCCAGCAGATGGATCCATTGTGTGCGACGCCGATCTCCGATATCCTTTCTCCACAGCGGTTTTCCTCCAACGCCGACAAGTCGGCCGCAACAGTAATACAGAGTCGATGTTGAGCTTCGCAGCAGCCTGGTCCAGCGGTCCGATACAATTCTTAGGCGGGACATCGATCACCTGGGTCTGTAAACCAACGGTAGACTGCAGCTGCGGGCCATGAACCCGCTCGGCGACCTTGAGGACCCGCAACCGCAAGCTCGCGACGTGCATACCTCAAACCATGCATGCCCGCCCCGGTCTCGTCCGTCCCCGCCGTCCGAACGATGCCGCTTGTCACGACCGTACCGCATTTCGTGCTCACGGTGCCTTGTAGCAGCCTGAGAGGCCGCACAGCACCGCCCGAACTATTCTGTTCCGCTAAGATTGTCATGGCACGAAGAGCGAGGAGAAAGCGTTCGGACTCACCAAAATCTAGGCCTTGGAACGACAAGGACGACGCGCGAGGCAGGCAAGTGCAAGTGTCCAACGTAAGTTGGGTCGATTTATTGTAGTATTTCTTGAATATATCCCTAACGCACAATACGACAAATAGGACAAATGCTGCATGCCGTCTGCACGCCATGCCTTGACATGAGGCGACATGCCGTGCTGTGCCGTGCCATGACACGACACGACATGCCGGGCCGGGCCGGGACATCACACGACGCGACTTGCCACGACGCGACTTGCCGCGACATGACATGACACGCACATGACTTGACATGACACGACATGACACGACACGACATGACACGACGCGACACGACACGACACGACGCGACTTGACATGCCATGCCGTGACGTGACATGACGCGACCTGCCGCGACAAGACCTGCCGCGACACGACCTGCCGCGACACGACCTGCCGCGACAAGCCCTGCCTTGACACGACTCGCCGTGACACGACTCACCGTGACACGACTCACCGTGACACGACTCACCGTGACACGACTCACCGTGACACGACATGCCCTCACTGGGAACAAACCGGCCGTGACACGACTCGCCGCGACGTAGTACTCACCACGACATGCCCTGCCTTGACACGACCGGCCGTGACATGGTTCGTCGCGACGTACTCTGCCGCGACATAGCAGCGCTGGATGATCCAGGCGTCCCCGCCTATATCAGGCCATCCGCCCACCGCCACTGCCACCGCCACTGCGCTGCGACCCGGGCGCCCTGCGTCCAAGAGGTCACGGTCGTGACTCTGTAGTGACCGAGCCAGCCCGTTGCAAGCTCGGGCGGCATTATGTGTATCAGTCACAGGGTCACCGGTGACTGTGTAGCACGCGCTTTAGCCGGAGATACTTTAAGAATCTCTTACAGTATCCCGTGGTGGGATTCCCATATGGGGAAGCTTTACATATCCTGCACTGAGATGATTAAAGTATCCAAACTTTGGGTATCGCTGAATACGGTATCCGGACCGGGGTTACTTTAAGTATTTCATACGGTATCTTATACAGTATCGCACGTGCAGATACTGTGTTATGCTTGCTGTGCTTTGCTCAGAGGTGCAGCGGGCGCTGGGCGAAGCTACATACTACCACCCCCTGGGCCCGTGCCAATTTGAATTCGTCACTTCGGTCAACTGTTACTTACACAGAGCCTGTTACTTGACTATTGTGATCAAAGACTCGGAAGGGTACAGCTTCAGATCTGTCGAAGGCCATGAAGCCAACATGAAGCTCAAGCCCGGGCCTATTCTCAGTGAGTCGTCGTACACTGAACCCTTGAAGACTTCAAACGGAGCAAACTATGATCTAGGAGCAGTAAATGTACGTTGCACGTATCAGATACCGTGACTTAGAGATCCTGGCACATTGGAACAACCCATCAAAGAAATTGTGTTGATGGGAGACGGATGGATCCCGTATGAGCATCTACCATAATCTCACACATCGGTGAGCTCATATTCACCCATGGTTTGCGAGAGGAAGGATCTTCCAGTTTTATCCGCGGGGAATACGCACTGGTGATGTGAACTCGGATTGGCGGCCCCAGTACTGCAGGCGCGTTTGCTGCCTGCGGGTGCGCCCATTGTTGCCTTCGAGTACTTAGTACTACTTGCGCAGCCCGAGCGATTACACGGACGCTGAAGAACATGTGGACTCCAATGTTCAAATCAAAGGAACCTCGCAGCGGCTCTGTGCATCAGCAAAACTGCGAGTTTGTCTGAAGCAGTCTGAGAGTACTGACTCAGACTCTTCAGACCCGTCAGACTTCATGTCTGACAACGGGAGATTAGTTCTGACATCAGAAGCAATCTCTGATGTCAGACGTCCTTCAGACCGTTGCTCAGACCATTTCAGATGGTCGTCAGACTGCTACTTAGAGCGTAACAGAACGTAGTACTAATAGTACATACAATACATTGTAAACTACCAGCTAGTACTCATCGTGATCTTACCTGTCTGCCCACCCACATACCCACCCTGCCTTTGCCACTGTGCTTGCCGTTTCCGACAACACCCCACTTGCTGGGCGTCGGGCTATCGTGTCGAGGTTCGGCGAACTGATGTCCACGGGCCGCGGATCCGTGGGCAATCGTGTAGGTACTCGCGGTTGGCGTGCGTTGCGCGCGCCCTGCCCGTCGCGGTCACTCATGATTGTTCCGTGCCCACCTTCCATTCGTCAGTCATGCTCGCCCGCCCGCTCGCTCACCCGCCCGCCCGCTCGCCCGCTCGCCAGCCCACTCTCCCGCCGTCTGCTCGCTCGCCCACACGCTCGCCGGCCGCATGGTAGAGGGTGGCGCGGCGATGTAGCAGGGCTGTGGCAGGGCGAGAAGGCGGTGGCGTGGCGCGGAGGGCCCAAGCTCGCGACTAGACGTTCTGTTATTGTGCAGGGTCGCCTGGCGTGTGCGGTAGGTCCTCGGCGTGCATCGCACGCGCCCGGGAGATTGTAGGACGGCAGGGGAGGACTGGGAAGGCGGCAGCCATGAATAGACAACCCCACTCTTCCGCGGGGTCGTCATGGGTACGTGCTACGTGCTCGGCATGCGCTTCACGCGTCCGAGAGCTGCAGAGCGCGGGGCGGCGAGGTAGGAGGGCTGAGGCATGGCGAGAAGGCAGTGACGTGGCGGGGAGGGCCCGAATCTACGACCAGATGTCCCGTTGTCGCGCCAGGATGCCTGGGACGCTGGGACAGCGGGGGCAGACTGGGAAGGCGGTGGCCAACGGACAGAATCGGACGGCCCCGCTCTTCTGCGGGTCGCCCGTCGTTTGTGCCAAGACCGCGACACGCTTGTGATGTGTGCGAGACGCGTGACGTGCTAGGGAGGGCGGTAGTAAGCAGGGAGAGAGATGCGGTGGTGGGGAGGGCGGTACGATGCGAATGGACGCCCCCGCTGTGATGCGGGGTCATCTTGTGTTCGGCATGTGTTTGGTGCGTCTGCAAGGCATAGAGGGCGGGGTGGCGCGATGGTGGAAGGCGGTGACGTGGCGGCGGGCATAGAGCACGAGGTGACGAACCCGCTCTTGCGCGGGGTCGTCACGTCCTCGGAACACTTCTGATGCGTATGAGCCGGCAGCGGGCGACAGGTAACAGTACATGAATGACAGGGCAACACGGGAGAGTGAGTGGAAAGGAAACTTACTTATTCTGTCTCAGCTTTGCTTCCTCCGAGCGCTGTCCACCCGACGCGCGACACTGTTGGGCATAAAATCTGGATCGCGGGGTTCGCGCTGGCCGGGCCACGTCACAATGACGCGGCCTCTCCCCGCGATGTTCTGCTCATCTGCATGCATTAGGCCGATGCACTGCGATTCCGCGGGCTGCCCGAGGGTTGTAGATGTTAAAGAGTGGAGAGGCAGTGAGAAGGGAGGCTAGCGAGGCATGGTGGAGGTGGGAGGCGCAGCCCTCGCGATGGTGTCCGCTCGCTGTGCATTGTAGCCGCACATCGTGGCTACGGGCAAGCCGGCGCTTGTGCACCCTTCCGGACGCCTCGTGCGTCGCGACAGGCTTCTGCAGCCGCTGCGTGTCAGCGACGAACAGCGCAGCGCACCAAGTCGAGAGGTGGGGAACTTGAAAGGCGAGTAACACGACAGAGAGGCGAGGGAACGATGACGTGGCGAGGTGCCAGCGTGGCGCAGTTTAGGGCAGGCGCCTAGTGGACTTGGGGGAGATTCGCTGCGGGTGGCTTGAGGTCGCGCCCGGAGGGTCTGACGGGTCTGACGGGTCTGAGTGGACTGCGTCGCCCTGAGAGAACGGGCACGGAATGAGTAGACGGAGAGCGACGAACGGCGCGGCCATAGACGCCCGATTGCTTCAGATGCGATAGAGCTCTCAGGCACCGGATCAGACGCCTCAGATCCCTCAGGCGCCCTCAGAACCCGCGCACATTTGCTGATGTGTTTGTGACCGATGTTTGGCACTACCGGAACTTCATTTCACTGATTTGATTCACATTTCGTATCATATCCCTGTTCTTTCCTCCTCGCGGCAGATAACCTGTCCGCGCGCGATATGAATAGACTCTTTGCAACCCTTGGTGTCCCAAGGCACGGTGGCTGGCTTCTGGGTTCTGTACAAACTGCCACCAGAAGTCAAGATGGCTGGCATGTTGCCGTTACGTCCCCCTGGTATCTCAGGGACACCGCAGTGATATTTCAAAGCTCGCTCGCCACAGTTCGCCTTTCATGCTGCCACCCCATGCTGGTGGCCCGTGGGCGCGGCCGGATGAATGGCGAAAAGTGCTCAGCTCACCAAGCGCGGAGATCCGGTGTCCGGAATACTTCTCTGAGGGGAGTGCGATTCTTCTTGAATCTGGATCCAACTACTTATATCACTAGTTC